ATGTGACCCAGCTGCATGTATTTTTAGGCTTAACTACGTATTTGTGCTGAGGCACAACACAAGTATGCTGGTTTCAGGCTCCCAGTCTCAACAGGAAGGATGGGAGGAGCTACTTTGGTATGGAAAGGGCAGCTCCACATTTTCTCTCTGCCTCAGACTGCAAGTGGCATTGAACTCTTTCTGAGACAGAACTTGCCCTTACTCTTTAGAAGAAGCAGCCATGGCAATCCTGGAGCTGTACCCTGGGAATCCAGGCACAGACAGCCACAGCATCCATGGAGATGCCATTGCTAAACTCAGACCCTTTCAGCTCCCTAATCTCATCAACATTCCTCAGAAGTTCCCCTAAAGAAAGATCTGTTATCACAGCCTGTGGGTTCCCACACAGGCCATTCCAAGGCAGACTGTTTGCCGAGTAAAGGCAAAGAGGGAGGCGGAGGGGGATTTGCAATTCACAGCGTTATTCTTGTCTTGAAAGCGCATCTGCTGAAGAGACAGCGGCTGCTGTGGAAGGCTGGCAGCCACACAGCTCCTCTGCTGGGAGCTGCAGCACGGAGCAGGGCACAGGGCACTGCTGGACCTGTGGGTGCTGATCTTTGAAACGCCGCAGGTTGTGGCAGACGCTGCAGCTCTCGGCCACGCTGCACCCTGATGGCCCACAAAGGACAGAGAAATCCTCTCCAGCAGCTTTCCATGGCAACAGTGACCTTGTGCAAGGCACAATGCCAGGCTGGGCCTCCCACTGAGCACTGGAAAAGATGCTCCTACCAGAAGCAGGCAGCCCTACTCTGCAGCAGCATCTGCAGCAGCAAAAGATGCACCAAGCAGCTCAGTGACCTCAGGTCCCTCACTGCTCTGCCTGCCTGCACTTTGAGGCCACAGACACAGCAGGCAGGCAGAGCCTCCCAAAATAGGGGGGTGAACCAAAAACAAAGAACTGAGTCCAGGCTGCAAGGCATAGAGTAGCTTTGTCCCCAGTATTATTGGAAACAGAACAAAAAGTCCACCTGGGTACAGGCCAAAGCCTCAGACCTGCCAGCAGCAGTGCCATAGTACTGTGGCTTTGGAGAAGCATTGGGCAGCAGCATTGCCTGAGCCCATGACTCCCCTTGCTCGCACTCAGTGCTTGGGAAGGAGCTCTGCAGAACAGGCAGGGCACTGAGTCAGTCCAGTGTAGGCAGAAGGTTCACTGGCAATGCCAGAGTCACGGTAGGAATGCTCCAGGTGCTGGTCCCTGGGAAGCAGGTCAGCTCTTGCCAAAGGCTCTCGCTGCCAGAGACCTGCTGAGCACTGCAGTGGCTCCACTCTGGGCATGAGATTTCCCAGAGCTGGGCAGACCCATGGACCCTCCCTGATCCCACAGGGAACACAGGTCTCAGTGCATTGCTGAGGAAAACCTCCCTGCCCAGTGCATGCCCAGGGGTAACAGCACTCCCTCTCACACCCAACACACCAAAACGAAACTCGCCCACTCCTTGCAGAGCATTGCTAATGATCACAAACCATCTGCCCTTCTCCACCTGCCACAAGGAACAAAGCTCTTCCTGATGGGTCCAGGGCACCAGCACTGCAGGTCTGGGAGGCACCCAGCCCTTTGGGAACAGCACTCCCAAGCCATCAGGCATCCTGTTGAACAGGAGTTTCCCCCACCACAAGATACCGTCGCCGTGCAGAAGAGTTGTTTCTGTGCTGAGCGTGTTCAGCCAACAGGTAGCAAAAAGAATTTGCCAGAACAGGAGCATGAAGAGCAGCAAAGCACCATGTCATCCATAAGGCTCACGAGTAGAGGGTGCCAGGGCACGGCCACTCCCCGGAGATGTGACTACCCCATACAACTGGCAGGTTCTGCACCCCTTCCCTCGCACACAGGGATGTCAAACTGCTTTTTAATGGAGGCTTTAGCAAACAGGACAGGCTTCCCAGGGGACAGGAGGGATGGGACATCCCTGCCGTTCTGTGAAATGGCACCTGAAGCAGTTTTACTCCCACAGTCTATCCCGAGCTGGGACACGAATGGAAAGAAACATAAAATGCAACCAGCACCCTACAGATGTTGGATAAGGGGATTTTCTCCCTAGTATGTTCCTAGATCTAAGGCACTGGAGACAGTGCAGAGTCCCAGCATTTGCCCTGTTTGAGCAGCACAGGTTTCATCCTCGTGAAGGAGTCTCAGTGCTGGAAACTCTCCAGAGTCACCCTCCAGCCTCAGAAAAACTAATCAACGAACATTTAAAAGACATTTAAAGGAAATCAGGTGTCTCAATACAATTTGAGAGCCATTCAGTTCTCCATCACCTCTGTCTACCCCATGGCAATATTCCTGTAAGGAGAGTTCCTGCCTGCCAGCAGCCAACGTCACAGCCTCTGTTTGCCATTTAACAGGAGGGGCTGGCTCAGCCCAAAAGGCTGCATTTTCCAAGGCACTGCCATCAGCTAGGATGACAGGTCCCAGGGAGCAGACAACATCCTGGGCTGTACAGAGATTACCAATGGGATGGCTGAGTGGCCAGGTAGACTCCAGCCACTCTCAGTCACCATAAAGGAACTTTTCCAGGCAGAATGCTCTTACCCTACCTCCCACTGCTGAGTGACACTCTGCTCACTCTGTGCAGCTTCCAGAGTCTCCAACCACTTCCTCAACAAAGTACAGGGTGGGGGGAATTTATAAAAGAGTAAAAATCAATAGTCAGCTCCTCTGTCCAGGTCTCTGCTGATTTCTGGGGGAGTTTCAGTTCCAATTACTTATCTAAGAGATGGCAAGTGTTTAAAATAGAAAGGGCAGTCCTGACATGAGGAGGGGAGCAGTTTCTCGACATCTCCCTTCCCAATCTTGCTGGGATGGAATTTACCATGAACAATAAGCCCCTGCATGCAAAGTGACTTAAAAGAGAGAAGAAGTAGCATAGAGACAAGGGAAAGTACCCCCTGGGTGCCTGTCACTCTCCATAGGGAGGGCAATGAGCTGCTGCCAGCCCCTTCAGCTCAGCTGGTTCAACTCACTATTGTGCAAAACATCTTTTACCAAAGCTCCCATTTACAAGGGGCTCCAAAGAGTAGTGGAAACTCACCAGCAGCTTGTATTCTACAGCTAAAAGTATCAGTTTGACTACTGGGAAAAATTGCTGTGTGGTGCTTTGCAGGACTGTTTATTAACAACTAGCCCCTTTGTATTCCAAATAAAAGCTGAAACAGAAGGAAATTTACCTGGAAAACTACCTGATGAACTCTATCTACACCAAAACTGCTAAAAAGGTCTGACATTTTTCATAGCAGAAGAGAGAAAGAATCAAAGTCCCTTTCCTTTTGGCAGCAGAGATAAATATTAGACAAACATATCTTTTGTTGCAAAGAGGAAAAATGAATGCATGACAGCATCAGATGCATGGATCAGACACATATACACAGCTTTAAAGACTTTTTATCACATCCTATTCTTTTAACATTTGTAAGACCAATGCAAATAATTCTGGAGAATTCCTAAAAGGCAGACAATGCCTCAAACGTACTTCCATACCCTCCAAGGGTGAAGTTTTTTATATCAAATAGAGATTCTCAGAGCAAAGCCATTCAGAGCCTAACAAAGATAACCCACTCCATTCCCTTCCAGAGCTGCAGAAGCCCACGATTTGGAACCCCCCAGCCATGGGGGTGACCAGGCTGTGGGTGCACACAAAGGTGTGCTGGGGTGACATGTGAGGTCGGCCACCCCTCACTCCAGGTGTGCCCTGATCCAGACTCACCCACTGGAGCAGCTCCAAGGAACCCTCTGCAGTGAAGGCCCCCTGGATGGCTTCAGTGTGGCCGTGTCTGAAGGATTTCACACAGACACATCAGCCCAGCACCATCCACCATGAAACGGCTTCCACGCTGTAGCCACCATTCTGTGCTCCAAGCACAGCCCCCGGTCAAAAGCCAAGAACCAACGCTGATGAAACCAACATTTCATCCAAAGCTCCAGCCCCAGGGACTGCCCCAGGACCCAGAGTCCTTAAGGTTCACATCACAGCACACAGCGTGCCAGCATAGCTAAAGACTCCTTCTTGTCTGAGGGAATAAAAATCAGCAAAAGCAAGGTCTTCTGGACCACAAAGCTCCAGAAAAGACTCAACAAACATATTTTACATGTTTGAGCTAGACTTAGTAAAGCCACTACTCTAGGTAGAGCTATGCTGATCCTACAGCTGTCATTTGGTGGATGCAAAATTACAGCAAGGAATCTGAATAAACAACAGCAAAGAAAGTCCTTGGTCACGTTTTAATTTACTACTGCTCTTGGACACCAAGAGGACTTCATTTGTCATAAGGACTCCAGAAATTACATAAATATAGGGAAAGAGCATCAGCGAGCCCATGATGTACATTCACCAGTAGAACACAGCATTCAGCTGCACTGCCTGTACAAAGGAGTCCAAAGGTAAATTATAAAGTGCATGTGAACTTTGCAGGATGCCAATACTTTCATTAGCTCTGCATCAAGCACTTCACACTTGCAACTCGTGCCTCCACAGAAAGACAGACAGCACAAAGTTTGGGACAGGTCTTGGTGGGCCACGACAGCTGCACCCGCAGCTTCACAAAGATCCACAGCCGAGGACACAAAGAGGTAAAACCAAACTGAGCCAAAAAGACGCCAGAGAACCCCAGGGGCTCTGTGGCAGGGAGCAACGACTGGCCAGGGCACCGCTCCCCAAGTCGAAGGTTCCCAGCAGCACCTTCCCTCCTCCCCGTTCCCCTCCGGCCTCCCTCGCTCCCGGGGCCATCTCTCCCGTTACTCGTTGTTTCCCTCCAGGCAGGTGCAGCACCGCAGAGCCGCACCGGCTGCGGGACAAGGGACCGGCGCGGCGGCACCGGGGCTGCTCGGGACCGGCCGGGAGGCTCGCAGGCTGCTCGCAGGACGAGAGGGCTCTGCCCCGGCCCGGGGGTTCCGGGAACGGAGAAACCGTCTGTGGGAGGGACGAGGCCGGTCCCGCCCCCCCCCCCCCGCGCATCCCCCGGCCCACCTGAGGTGTCCCACATGTTGAGTTCGGTGCGCTGCTTGTCGATCTCGAAGCTGGCCGTGTAGTTCTCGAAGACGGTGGGCACGTAGCTCTGGGGGACGGAGGGGAGAGCAGAGGTGAGGTGAGGTGAGATGATGCGCGGTGGAGAGCCCGGCCCGCCCGCCCGCCGCCCGCCGCACCTCGGGGTAGCAGTCCTTGGCGAAGACGTGCAGCAGCGCCGTCTTGCCGCACTGCGTGTCCCCCACCACCACGATCTTGCAGCGCGCCAGGTGCCCCTCCATGGTGCGGGGCCGCGCCGCCCGCGCCGCCGCTTTACCGGGTCGGCCCCGGCCTGGCCGCGCCCCCGGCCCCGACAGCACCAACCAGGCGCGGAGCGAAGCCGGCGCTGGGCAGGGCCGCGCCGCCACGGCCCCGGGAGCCGCCCCCCGCCTGCCCCGCCGCCCCCTCGGGGCGTCCCCTCGGCGCTGCCGGCGCTCGGCGCTGATCCCGGGAGACGGCGCGGGGGTGGCGGGTCCGGAGCCGGGAGTGGGCACGGCCCCGGAGCCGGGAGTGGGCACGGCCCCG